CCATCTGTCTTGCTCATGCCAGAAATTCCCTCTAAAAGTAACAGAAGCACTCATTCCAATCGGCTTAAAATGAAAACTATGAGTTAAAGAAACACCAAAATACATTTATATTAAAGTGTTATCTGTCAATCAAGCAAAGATTAAATACATGACATCAGAGTTCATTTGGTTTAGTAAGGAAGAAGCTAGAAAGGAGAACATTCATTGTCATACGATAGGTGTGGGGACCCCAAGAGGCAAAGAAAATTTTGAAAAGGTAGATAAATCTAAAAAAGGTTCATAGATTTATGAAGTCTCTGAGATGAAACACAAAGTTGGGGTATGAATAACTCGGCATTATTCTGAGGGGACTGGGAAAGATAATGAGATTGTCACAAGCATCCACAAACCGAAAAAGGCTATAAAATATTGCTATGGAAAATCCACATCAAGCCAAACATCAAAGGCCTAGAATCTTATTTAAATCTTTGGTATTATCTTCTAGAGCTGGGGTGGGCCTCCAGCCTATTTGTATAAATAAATCTTTATTAGAACACAGCCATGACCACCTGTTCAGGTACTGTCCATGGCTACAAACACAGAGACCATACGGCTCACAAAAAGTCAGAAACATTTACTATCTGATCCTTTATACAGAAAGTTTACAAACCCCTGTTCTATACAGAAGCAGCCTGGAATGAGAAAGTTACCCTTAACTACTCACTTACACTGATTATCAACAGAAGACCCATAGCAAGATTTACAGAAAGATCTATTTCCATTAAGTAACAGCATATTTAAAATTTTACCGATCGATTAAATAAGTTCCGTTCATTTACACCCTGTTCTGATTAACACCTTGGATAGCTATTACAAAACATTTCATTGTATAAGCTCATTATATAAATAAGACAGCAGAGCTGTTACTTTGATAAATGTTAAAAAAAAAAAAAAAAAGTTGTCCTGCTCAAGAAAACTAAGAAATGCTTTATGATCAGGGCCCCTGGGTGGCTCAGTCAGTTAAGCATCTGACTTGTGATTTTGGCTCTGATCATGATCTCACAGTTCATGAGTTCCAGCCCCTGAGTCAGGCTCTGTGCTGGCAGTGCAGAGGCTGGCTGCTTGGATTCTCTCTATCCCTCTCTCTCTCTCTGTCCCTCCCATGCACCTGTGCTCTCGCTCTATCCCTTACTCTCTCAAAATAATAAGATAAAACAAAAAAGAAATGCTTCATGATCATCTTTCGTCCTTATTCTCACTGCTCACTGAAAACCATGAAATATATTCTCTAAGTGTTTTCATCAGAATGAAAAAATATTTTATGATATATAACAAGCAGAGGTAATCAAACAATTAGTCATCAAAAGAGGAATCAGTAGTTTAGAAGTTGTATAAGAGTGAATTGTTACACAATAGTTTTACACACATTTAAAAATTCTCAACTGCCATTATATCCTGCAAATAAATATATTTGATTACAATTATATAACCAAATGTTATCGGGGCACCTAGGTGGCTGAGTTGGTTAAGTGTCCGACTTTGGCTCAGGTCATGATCTCGCAGTTGTGAGTCTGAGCCTCATGTCCGGCTCTGTGCTGACAGCTCAGAGCTGGATCCTGCTTTGGATTCTGTGTCTCCCTCTCTCTCTGCCTCTCTCCTGCCCACGCTATCTCTCCCTCCCTCTCAAAAGTAAAATAAAAACATTAAAAAAATTATAACCAAATGCTGTTTACCCATATCCCCTATAAAAATAAAGGGAGGAGGAATTAAAGTGAAATACTTAAAAGCATGAAGAAATATTTGTTAAAACATCTAGCAATGTATTTATGGAAATGTCAATAAAGTAATTGCGGATAAAGCAGTTCAGAGCAAACAATAATCACGTATATCATTTCCAAGACACCCTCAAGTATTACACTAAGTATATTACCATGTTTTATATATACTGTACTGATGAAAATCCCACCCACAAAACTCTAAAGCAAGTATCTGTAAGGACAAATATTTTAATTTGAAGGAAACCAGGAATGTAGACAAGAGGGATGCTTTGTGTAACTGCAGCTACAGTGCAAATTTTTTAAATACCGAAGCCTATTTAAAAAAAAAAAATCAAAGGAAACAAACCTGAAAGGAATTTTGCAACTTACTATCTAATTAAACTACTTCTTTTCCAAAAGTACATTTAATCACCATTCTCTCCTTTCAGACATCAGAATGGTGGCTACACAAGTAACACTACCAAGATACATTTAAAAACCTGAGACAGTTTGGTTCCAGAAACTCTGTAAGTCTCTTAATATCTTAGATCACATCTTTAAAAAGGAAAAGAAAAAAGGAAATCTACATTTCTGTAAAGGCACACTAGATGAGAAGAGCACTTGAATGTTTGCAATAAATCAGAGCCCAAAACTTTCTATTACAACCAGCAGGAAGATAAAGGGAAGTGTGAGATTAAATACTCACACACAAACTATAACTGCTCTTTCAGTCATTTAAAACAACAATTCTGACTTTTACTATTTGGGTACGTCATTAAACTGGCCTTAAGTCTCCCCTCCTCCACCAGTACGTTGCCATCATACCAGACATGCTTTCCTCATTCTTGGAGTAAGTGCTGTTTTATTGGGCTGGAAAAGAGCTCTTGAAATTGTCCAGCCAGGAAAATGTGTAGGTGGGAAAAGGAATGGAGGGTGCTACAGGTATGATCTTCATAAATAAACCTGAACAGTAGTTCCAAGTATAGAATAAAACTGCACTTAAGTTACGCTCTTTACTTTTTAAACTGATAAACATTTTTAACCACGGAAAGGCTCCCAAGTAATTGTGGAAAAGCTTAACAATTTAGATTCTGACTTTCCTTGGTTTTCGTTTACAGGCAATTTCAGAGTAAAACTCCAGGAGTCCACCTGGACATTTAGTTTGCTGATCACCTTCGTTTCTTATCAACTATAAAGCTTGGATCGAGGTGGTGAGTCCAAGATGCAGCTCAACCATGAAACGAGACGTACACGAGGGGTCAGAGAAAACTGGAACTTCCTCCCCTTTATTCTTACGTATCTATTTCTCATCCCTCAGGCTGGGACCCCTCTACCAGCGGACACCCTTCCAGAAGAAACTTTCTCTCCCTCCTCCGAGCCCGGGGCCGGGGTAGGAAGTACTCGCCCTCCCGAGCGGGGAACTGCGGTGTCCTCGCCGTTCATTGGCTATGGAAGCCGTCAGTTCTGCAGAGGGCGGGGCCTCCCGGCTGAGGGCTGACTCTCAGGCCCGCACCTCCCCGAGAGTCCGGGGACTCAGCCCCGCAGAGAAAGCGGCCAGCCTCCACTAGGGGTTCCTTCGCCTTTTTATTTTTGAGCCCTTCTCTCTCAACGTCCCCACACAGTATCTGTCCGTTTGACTCCTCCACGAGGCAATTTTCCAAAGCTCCCCCATTTCTCCCCCACCCCAGCAAGCTCCCAGTCTAGCACCAAACAGAAGATGCTGCGGTTTTAGGAATTAAGCAAGCTGTGGACTGGATCTCCCGAGGATAGCGGAGGATTCCTTCTGGAAATGATAAAATGCTTAAGTTTCATGTTAACTGTTTCAAGTGCACTGGCCTTCGTCTAGTGTTAAAGCCAAGAATACTCGGCGCCCATTCAGTAAGAGTTGCCGCAAAGTGTTACAGGGTTCGTTGTATCTCTTGTTTAACTATGCACCGTTTTCAGTGTTCTGTCCGGTTATCCCTAATACTACGCCACACCCGCAACAACAGCTCAAGCTCCTGTACAGAATACATTTATCACACACACGTTCTGTACTTTATCCTGTAGAGCAACCCGACAAGACACACTGCTGTCGCGTGCAGGGAGTGTGTATACTTCTTGACACTACAAACTCTTTGGAGGAAGAATTAGAAACAGTGCTTGTAGTTATGATGGATACACGATGCTCTACAAACTATGCGCATCTCATTTTTCCAACAGCATCCGTATGATCCGCGGAGGAGGAAAATCATTTCATTTTTGTAATGTGCTTCAGACTTTCAGTTCCATCACCATAACTGCTCAAGGATAGGAGCCTAAAATAAGTATAGCTTTAGTATTTATCCCTAACAAGGACTACAGCTATGAGAGAACACGATTGATCAACTTGATACATCACTTCCCAAGGCCTACAGTGTACAGGAAAGAGACAAGAAGATTCTTTAGATCTCATCTGCAACACAGCTAGATGTTGCTTCCTGATACAGTCCTCAGGTAATGTGGTCTACTCATTTTTCTTTGGGGGGGGTCCCATTCGTCTCTCTGGCTTTGGCCTCAATTCTCAATTTATTTCTCTTCCATTACCACCATCACCAGCACACTTCTCTATTGCCTTGCAATCTCTCTCACACTTGGTAATCCCGACAGGTCCCACTAGAGCCCATTCTCCAACAGGTCCGCCCTCCTCCCTGTACTTCTCAAGTTCAGCTTCTCGCTTAGCTACACGGCTCCCACCATCCGCTCTCTCCAGTGCACTTCACTCCTCTAAGTCCACCCGCTCTCTCCAGTGCACTTCACTCCTCTAAGTCCACCCGCTCTCTCCAGTGAACTTCACTCCTCTAAGTCTGGCTGCTGTCGAATCCTGACAGCTGGACTTAACCAATCGGCGACGGATAAATAACCGACTCCGCCAATGAGCGGCAGCCGAGGGGTGGGAGGCGGGACTTCGCCTAAGTTCCTCGGGTCCTGAAACCAAAGACCTGTTGCCGCCGCCGCCGTGGCCGCGGAGTTTCTTAGTTACCGCGGCGCCCACGGCGGCCTCGGACGCCAGAGCCCGTGCGGGGCACAGAGCTCCCGCCGCCCGCTCCCGCCGCTGCCAACGAACTGGACTGAAACCCCCACCCAGCCCGAGCGCCGCGCGCCCCGCCCCACCTCCCCCTGCGGGAGGGATCCCGGAGGCCGCCCCGCGCCCTCCCTACCTCCCCTGCGCCCCGCCCGGCTCCCGCAGGCAGTCCCCCCCCTCCCCGGCCGGGGCCGCCCGAGACCCCGGCAGCCACCACTCACCAGGAAGTTGGGAGTTTTCCGTTCTCCCGCCCGCGAGGGACCCGGGGCAGGCGGGCTGCTCGGCCGGGCGGCGCCGCGGAAAGGCCCGCTGGGCCGGGGGCTGTGGCTGCGAGGCCGGGAGCCGATCGCCACCTCCCGCCGCGCCGCCCCCGCGGACGCTGCAGGCGCGGGCCCCCACCCTGCACACGGCGAGGCGCGTCCCGAGTGCGAGCCTAGCGGCGGCCCATCCTCCCGCGACTCCCGCTCCTCCTCCCGCGGCCGCCGCTGTCAGGAGTGTAAACATCCCGGCATCCCCGAGGAGAGGGGCGGGGCGGGCGCCGGCCCCTCCCCGCGCCCCGAGCCCCGCGCCGCCGGTCCCGCCGGCCGAGCGCCGCGGCCGCACGCTCGGCTTCGTGCGCGCCTCCACCTCCCGGCTGGAGCCGCCGCCGGCGGAGGGGCCCCTCTGGCGCGTGGCCCCCTGTGGTCAGGCCTGGCGTGGGGAGGGGGGGCTTCCATCTAACCCCTGAGTCCCCTTTCCTTCCCTGGGACCAACTTCCTTCTGAGCCGCGGTCGGCTACTTCTTGAGAACTTGTCTTTGATCCATTTCTGTTTAAATTACTCCACTTGCAAGCGGTCAGCCGAACCGGTGACGTCCTCTTTCTTCTGGATCACAGCGTTTTGATCCCATCCCCTTTTACTAGGTGGTTGAAACGGACTCTGCGCCGAGCACACCTTACTTTAAAGAGTCCTGGCTTAGAAAACAATGGGTTTTAGGACATTTCTTTTGTTTTTTTTAATGTGTATTTAGTTTTCACAGACAGAGAGCGCGAGTGGGGAAGAGGCAGAGAGGGAGACACAGAATCCGAAGAGAGGCTCCAGGCTCTGAGCTGTCGGCACAGAGCCCGATGTCGGGCTTGAACTCACAAACTGCGAGATCATGACCTGAGCCGAAGTCGGATACTTAACCGACTGAGCCACCCAGGCGCCCCGCTTTTAGGACATTTCTGAAAGGTGAACGAGCTGGTTTGGTATTGGGAATCTTGGGCGGGGGAGAGGGGAGAGGGGAGAGGGGGAATATACCAGAACCCTAGTACCTACAAGAACTGAAAAAGGCTTTACTACTTCAGTAAGTGGGCACGTATTGCTGGAGACGACAGACAGCTAGGAGGCAGTATGGAGTCAACCACTCTGATTCTAATCTCACTTAAGTGATTATTAACTGTGACCTGTCCTCGAGTAATTTTACCTCTCCCAAGTATCATTCCCTTTGTCTGTAAAACGAGAATGGAAATAATACTCCTCTCTAGGATTACGGTTAGAAATGAGATAAGCAAAGTGCTTAAATACAAGAGCCTAACATGTAAGTACTCATTAAGTAGTTGTTACTGTCCCTAGGTCTTTCATTAGTTTAACTTACCTACCAAAGAGATTCGAGCCAAGAATGAGTAGATTATAGCTCAAATACTTCAAAAGTTAGCGCTACGGAGTTAATATTTGGAAAGTTTATTTTTAGCAAAAAAAAAATTAAAGATTTCAAGAGGAGATGTTGATTCCATTGGCTCGAGAACTAATAATAAATATACTAGGCATTGTTCTAAGGAATGAAGATACAATAGTTACCAAGATACAAAGTCCTTGCTGCCATAGAGCTTCTATTGTAGTAGAAAAGGCAATAATAATAATCATAAGCCAGTAAATACATGCTATGTTAGATGGTGATTCATACAAAAATAAAGCAGGGTCAGGAGACAGGAACAGGGAGCATGCTGTTTAAAATATTATCAGGGAAGGCCTCTGACATTGCAGAGACCTGAGGGAAGTGAGAAAATGAGCCATGTGTCTATGTAGGAGTGAAGCATTTGACACAAAAGTAACAGCAAATGCAAAGGTCCTGGGTAGAAGTGGGCTTGGCTTGTTTGAGGAATAGCCAAGAGGTAAGCATAGCTAAAATCTAGTGAACCAAGGGAGAGTACTAGTGGATGAGATCAGAAAGGGGTTGGGGGGAGGACAGGAAGGGGCAAAATTTAGAACCTTGTTAAGTTTTAGAGTTTATTCTGAATGAAATTGAGAGCCATTGAGGGGTAACCAAATCAGACTCAGTTTAGGAGAGAATAGCTACACTGTGGGGAACAGACTACAGGCTCAGAACAACTAGAAGAGGATACTATTCTAATGGCCAGGTAAAAAATACTGATTGATGACTTAGACCATTGCAGTAATAAGAATGGTCAGATTCCCAATATATTTTTTTTAATTTTTTAAAGTTTTTTTTTATTATTTATTTTTGAGAGAGAGATAGAGACAGCATGAGCAGGGGAAGGTCAGAGAGAGAGGGAGACACAGACCCCGAAGACAAGCTCCAAGCTCTGAGCTAGCTGTCAGCACAGAGCCCGACGCGGGGCTCGATCCCACAAACTGTGAGATCATGATCTGAGCCGAAGTCGGACGCTTTACCGACTGAGCCACCCAGGCACCCCATCTTCCTGATGTATTTCTAAGATGCAGCCAGATATATTTGTAAGATGCAGCCAACAAGATTGGCCAGTGGGTTGGATGTGGGGTAAAAAAGGAGGCAAAGACGAAGCCAATGAAGTTGGTATTTGAACCAGATCACTCTACCACATCACACCAAATTAAAACCAGGCAGTCAAATAAGAACAGTGTCACTTGAGTCATACACAGGCAGGAAATAGTCATACTTTTTAGGAAAAATAACCAGATATTCCCCAGGTGAAGACACTTCAACCTGATATGGTACAGTAAGTAGGATTAAAAGTTGGGGAGAGGGGAGTTTTTTGTTTGGTTTTTGGTTTGTTTTTTCTTTTTACTATCTTTTGCACTATCTTTTAGAAAATGTAGATAGATTGATAGATAATAAAACATCCCAATTGAAATAAATTTCAGATCTAAAGACCTGGTATTTCATTGGTGTGAGGAAAATGTATATACCTTATGAACACTGATAAGCAAATAAATCAAAATGAACTCATGAAGCCCTAGAAGTCACAAAGACTTTGTCTAGGAAATATCCTATTCGTGGCTATATGGTATCCAAAGTATTGAGATCATCAGTATGTGTCCTATTTCTTCACCTTAAAAGACTACGAAGTTACGGTGATGTCTTAGTAACAATCTTTCAAAGGTTGTCAGAGCTGAATCCACTGCACTTTCTCATTGTGACTTTTTATCACCTTATGTGGAAATAAGGGAGGGTTGCCCAAGCCACCTACCCCTGGCCTGGAGCAAATGCTAATGAAAAAAACAAACAAACAAACAAACAAAAAAAAAACGAGAGATCTGGCTAAAGGAGCTCCTCTAGCCCCAGGGATTATTAGAGCAGAGTTCTGCTTTAACTGCCTTTCTATTCATCTCCCACCAAACGATCCAAAAATGCTGTTTGGATCCATGAAACACACTAATTACAATCCTTTACCTAATTACCTAATGAGCTATGTTTCTACCTAATTACCATGCAATACATGCCATTAAGTATCAGGTTAACTTTGCAGTAAATGATATTATTATACCTAAAGCTTGTCAGTTTATACCAAGTCTTCATATTTTATTATCCATATAGCTTTGCTGGTCCCATACAATTAAAAATAAAAATTAAGGGGCACCTGGGTGGCTCAGTCGGTTAAGCATCCGACTTTTCTCACGGTTCGTGGGTTCGAGCCCTGCGTCGGGCTTTGTGCTGACAGCCAGCTCAGAGCCTGGAGCCTGCTTCAGATTCTGTATCTCCCTCTCTGTCTCTCTGACCCTCCCTTGCTCACGCTGTCTCTCTCTCTCTCTCTCAGAAATAAATTTTAAAAATTTAAAAATAAATAAAATTTAAAAGTAGCATTGATTACCAAAAACATTTTTATCCATAGCCTAAACCAAACCAAATGTTCATTCATTCATTCATTCATTGTAAATTCACCTTCTCTGTAAGGAGAGAAGCTTGCTAGAAAAAAAAAAAATGTTTTTCTAATGAAGGATGAAGAAGTAATATTAAAAATAATTCTCCTTTGAAAAAGATCCTAGCCACTGGGGTAGACCAGAAACGCCTAGTCTTCTGGACTCACAAACATAGGGCTGGCAACAGGTGTACTTAAAAAGCTACTAGTGACATTGGCAGCCTCTGGATTTGGCAGCTAAATGGTGATGAGGCTTAGTCAAGCTGTTGAAATGTCTGGACTAAACTGGGCCAAGAGGAGGAAGTCAAAGTGCAGACTGCAGACAACCCAAGGGAGATCACTTTTCTCTGGTCCTGGCTGTGGTCACTGTACAGTGTCAGAAAATAAATCTTTATCTTTCTTTGAAAACACTCATGAAAAATATTAGAAAGCTAACTTTTTCACTTTAACGGCCCTTTGTAATTATTTTTTATAGATCACGTAGATGAGCTTCCTATGAAAACAATAAAATCAGCTTTAATTTTATTCTCACATCAAATCCCTAGAATTCAGAATCACACAAGGGCAACTCTGCTTTGTCCCTATGATCTAATTTATTTTGAGAATACAGTTCATAGTTAAAAACTGTGGTACACTTAGGGCACCTGGATGGCTCAGTCAATTGAGCACCCAACTCTTGATTTTGGCTTAGGTCATGATCTCACAGTTCGTGAGATCAAGCCCTACATTGGGCTCTACCCGGACAGTGGGGAGCCTGCTTGGGATTTTCTCTCTCTCTCTCTCTCTCTCTCTCTCTCTCTCTCTCAAAATAAATAAGCATTAAAAAAATTGTAGCATAATGACAGTGGCTTTTGCCCATTTTTGCAGTATTACAAAACTGGGGAAACATTTCAATACACTACATACATATTTTTAAAATAGATACTTGTAATGTAGGGAAATGTAATATTTTATATTGATTGCAAAACAGGAAAGAAACAGTACAACTAGCAGTTCATGTTTGTATTATGATTTTCTGTGGTTAACAGAATCCAGTTGAATTTATGCTTTTTTTGTCTCTTTAACGTAAAAGCCAGAAGGCCAATATGCAATGGGCCAAAAGTCAAAGCAATGAAGGAAATACATTTAAAAACGACTTCCCTTTTCACACTTGTACACTCTATCCTTGATGTGGAGCCAGATTGTGAGGCCATTTCACAGGACACATTCTCCTCAACAATGGTGGCCTTTTCACAGAATGTTCACAGTCACTTCTCAATTATCTGTGTTCACAGAGATTTGTGGCGTTATGGTAATCAAATCCCAAAGATAATTTTTAAAAGTACAGGTTTCTCTGGAATATTGTGCGTGCAAGCATCTACCCCAAGAAAGGGATATTACAAATAACCTGTGATTTCACAAAGCTGAATGGAAAGGTCTCCAGGAGGTCTACCTAATTTGTGGCTCCCTCTGCATCTTCTGACTCATCAAGCTCTCTTTTTTGTGCTCTTCCCATAATCCTGGGATGCACCATATCCATTCAAATCTGAACAAATAGAGCAATTTTCTATTTCCTAAATAGGAAAAAAAAAGACAAATAATAAGTATTTCTCTTTACCTTTAGTATTTCCGCATGGTTAAACTGAGAGACTACTCTCAGGCTACAGATCCAGAAGTGCATCCTAACAAAGTCAACACAAGAGGTGAAAAGTTGCGTTCACTATTGATTTCATCTTTGTAACCCTCTTTGCTCATACTTAAGCCATTATTGCTTAAAACATACATCTCACCAATCTTTTTGTTTCAACTGTTCTACTTAATGCCTAAAGTATACTTTAAAATACTTCAGTAATTATTTCTTAAGCAGTTCAATTGTACTGTTAATGTTCAATCTCTTTGGAAATACAGGATGTGAGTAAAACCAGGTTTGGAATCATGCCACATCAAATTCAAAGATATACTTAAAGCTGGCTATTACTGTCTTTCTCACAATAAGCCTAGTTAATCATAAGCAGCCTCAATATCTTCCATAATTCTGTCACTGAATTCACTGTTGGAGAAAATTCAAATTATGGAGACATTTTATTTCTTTACTTTATCATACCAGCATCTTCAACAAAAAGTTAGCATTATGTAGAGGGAGGAGTGCCTAGGACAACACTCTGCAGAATAAGAGAGTATCATTTTCAGAACTTGAGCATTTGGGGGCAAAAATCAGAAATGTACTTAAAAACTTGATGAAGTGCCTGTTCTCAAAGTCAGGGCAAGAACCATCCAATTCATAAACCATTCAAGTACTGAAGAAGGCAAGCCAATATTTACCTAATCCATTCTTTCAAAGAGTAGGAGAAGACAAACATAGACTGTCAGCCATGGAAACTGCAAACAGTCCTAATTGGACCATATCTTTACATTTGCTCATCAGTGCTATTTACTGCTATATCACTAATGGATTCATTTAATCGGTGGAACTTTTAAATCATTTTTCAAAATAGTATACATATAAATATATGATTATTATTTTTGTATATAGGTTATTTTTAGAAGTTACTTTAAAAGCTTATTTTGAAGTTGTATTTTAAATATACATGTAAAATTTATTTAAAGGTTTTGAATATGTAACCAACTTTAAAAAATAATTTTTGCGACCCCTGGGTGGTTCAGTCACTTAACCATCTGACTCTTGGTTTCAGCTCAGGTCATGATCTCACAGCTTATGAGTTCAAGCCCTGCATTGGTCTCTGTAGTGACAGTGCAGAGCCTGCTTAGGATTCTCTCTCTTCTCCTTCTCTCTGCCCCTCCCATGCTCATGCTCTCTCTCTCTCTCTCAAAATAAATAAATAAATAAAATAATAATAATAATAATTTTAGGGGCACCTGGGTGGCTCAGTCGGTAATGCGTCCAACTTTGGCTCAGGTCATGATCTCATGGTTCGTGGGTTCAAACCCCACATTGGGCTCTGTACTGACAGCTAGCTCAGAGCCTGGAGCCTGTTTCAGATTCTGTGTCTCCCTCTCTCTCTGACCCTTTCCTGCTCATGCTATCTCTCCCTCAGAAATAAATAAAACATTAAAAAAATTTTTTTAAATAATAATTTTAAAGCTTATAAACACACACCCACATACACACATACAATACATAGTTTGGGCAAAACCCAAGTATGCAGCTATTTTAAATCCCATTTTTTTATTTGTTCTTTTCTTGCTCAAATTGAAAGATAAAAATAATCACCTTTTTCTGAAGACATAAATAATAAAAATATTATTTCTTTATGTTCTAAGTTAAGTGAAATTAATACTTTATCAGGTCTATGTCCTATAACTCTTAAGTAGATAGATATGTTTTACTCCTTACGATAGGAAGTTTGTAGTAATGTAAATTAGAGATGACTGGGAAAAAACCATGAAAATGAATTATGTCATGTTTCGGTTTCATGAAACATGAATTAGTTTCAATTTCCTGTATGAATTTTTTTAAATATATTTATATTGTCACTACATAGCCAAGCCTTTATTTCTAATACCCTAACTAACAATATTTTAGGCTATTTACTGTCTTGAAATCCAAATATGTATAGAGATCAAATTAAGTCAGAACAATTATATCATCTGAATCTTTGCAGCTGATTGTTTAGTCTCCGAAAGCTAGAAATCTACTTTCATCACTTTCAGAATCTAATACTTCAATTCCCTTTATGGACATTCTATGTATTTCCCTATTTCACAATTTGTTGAAGTTATGCATATATAAACTCTACAAAAGTCAAAACCAATACCTCCATCTGTTTCTTAATGCATGTAGAGATAATCAGCCACTATATTAAGAGATTTTCACACCAATGATGAGGCAGCAGCTCATGAACCAGTTCTGGGGCCAGTACAACTTTGGGATAGAATTTTATCAGTATTTCACCTCTGGGGTTCTCCTTAGGATGATAGAGTATGATGTGATGTGAAGGAAAAGGTGGTGAGGCCGAGGTGTGGAATGTAGTTACCAACTCTAACAAAACGTGTGGAGGGTTTCCTGTTATCATGTCCCAAGATAGCAAAAGGAAAATGAAACTCCTGTATTAATAGACTTGCTCTTCTCCTTCACTAGTAAAGTTAGAGTAGGAAAGTGTCCTCAAGTGAAACACGAAAAACTTACAGAAGATGTTGCCAAGAATTAACTGCAAGAAGGAATCCCTAACCTTACAGAATAGGCTCTTAAAGACCCTTCTCTAATGACATTTCAAATGGAATGTAGCTCATCTCTTTGGCCCGGTTTAAACATAACCTGTCCAAAAACAAGAAGTTGGGCTACAATCACATAAGCTTACCTATTAGTTTACATAAATCAGAATAAGCTTACGTAGTAGCTAGTTAGTGGTCCAGCTCCAGGAAAATGTGGTTAGTACAGTCTATCCTTGCTTCACTTTTATTCCGCTCGGTACAGAGCTTTGTTCTCATTTGCCATCGTGGATTAACTGTACATGTTTACTTCTGTAGTTTGAAGAGTAATCAGTGTTAGTGCATATTGCTGTGTTTATTTTTCAACCTGAACCTTGTGATTACTATGTAGGTTTCCATTCCTTTCGTTCCAAAATGTTTTTTGGCCTTTGAT